CACGTAAAAAAAAAAAAAAACATTTGAACAGCTCTTGAATTTTTTACTACAAAGCTTGCCCATTATTGACTAAATATACTTGAGAACTAGAAATAACAACAACAAACGTGCTAAAGTGGTAATTTTAAAGTTAAACAGAGAGTGACATTAACATTTGTATTGTCCTTGACAGGAAAGTGTACTGTCATGATTGCCTTCATTTCAATGGCTTTCTTCCAAATATCCTCTTTTTCAGAAAAGTAGCGGCTTTCACAAAGGCGCGTGTCGGTTTCTTTTTGTCCACTGGTTTGCTGCGTAGAGTGTAGTGTGGCCCAATCTAGAAGTGGAGTCTTTTCAAGGTTTATGGTATCTTTCAGGAGGCCGGCTACAAATTTTGTCACGCGTCTGCCATGCTCCCGTCCTTCAGTAACTTCTGTAATGCAGAGATATGAGTGGCAAGACCTCTCCTCAAGATCCACGCTTCGGTCTCTCAGCAGAGCCAACTCCTTTTTCACGATACTACATTCTTTTTCCAGAGTAGTAAGAGAGTAGATGCAGCTTGCACTTCGGGGTTAGCATAAGCATGGAGGCTAGTAACGGATTCCGCTTCCCTACAGTTGCTTCGGCCTTTACTCATTCTGATTTAAGTTAAATTACGCTCAAACCAGCTAGACTCCGACACTTATAAACGCTTATTTTCCGGTATAGGTAGGTTTAAGGTAATAGTATTTAGGATAAGAGCAATATTAAATGAAATTTTAAGTTTCATGTGAGGACCTCAACAGATTGCATCTTTACATGGTGCCGCTCCAACCAGAAGTCCAAAACAAACAATATAACCATAATCACAATGAAACGCAAAACCCTAAGCACTTATAACTCAAATGAAAGTGAAAGGAAAAAAAATGCAAATGATTTCAGGCCAGCAGATTCATCAGATTTGAGTATGGGGAAAAATAATAATGATAAAAATAGTACAAGGAGAAAACAAAACAAGAGAAGCAAAATGAGAATTAGGGTAAAGAAAACAAAAACTTTTGCTTATCAACGGAGCGGAGGAATCAAGGGAAATGAGAGGGGAATGGTGAATGTGGAGGTGTGGATGTGAAGGTTGAGGGCGTCGTCAAACCCAGCTGGTGAGTAGCAGTCACGGGTGCCTAACAGGAATCTCTGACACTGTCGACTGCGTAATGAAGGCTTTCTGCAGCTGACTACATGTCAGCAAGAAAAATCGGTAAATTGATTTTGTTTAGGACACACTGCACTGAAGTCTTTGGTTATGCACTCGTTCACAGAAGTCACGAACACTTCAGTAACAAGACAGCGGTCTTTGCTCTGTTGCTTCAATACATACTTTAGCTTTTTGTTTCTCACAGCGAGTCGTTAAGTTTACACTGCTCAACTCTACCTGGTGTCTCTGTTACAGTTCAGTCAACTTCTCTTTCTTCTACACACCACATAATGCTGCCCTCTTCAACTCTCCTCCTCCTCCTTTATACTCTCACCCATTTCCTTTTTGTCGTCCCATGGGTGGAGACAAATTAAACAATGTTGACTGTCGTCACAGAAAACACCAACAATCATAAATGCATGATTATATGCTGTTATGGCTTTGCGCAAAAAAAAAATTGTTGTTATAATCAGGGCTTTACTTTAAAGGGCCATGAAACCCCCTCGTTTCAGCAGGGTGTTTTCACACCTCTACTTTGGAAAAAGTCAGACAAGTGGGCGTGTCCAGCTCTGTTTAGGGGGGAGTGTCGGAGGAGCTAAAGTGGGAGGGTGTGGGAGTGTCTATTTGGGCACGCACGAGTTTCAGAGTCAAAATACTAACACAGGAGAAAGTGATGGCGTTCAACCTACATGGACATCTGTAGTCGAATTATTTGCCAAATTATTAAATGGTGGACTTTAACTGCAGTTTGGTTCTTTGATTCAGGGAATTTATTCATGCCCCTCGCGACAAACAAGATATTTGATTCGAGGATCTGCTCTAAGCGTGTATTTTTCATGCAATGTTTGATACCGCACGGCGAATGAGAGAAAAAAACCCTCCGCATTTCCCGGAAACTTAGATGCACACGGCAGGTAGCGTCAGAAAGTGTGTTATTCCGATCACAAAATGTCGTAAAAACCCTACATGAGGTAAAAGTTTGGTTGTGGTGCTAACATGTTTACACTTGGTGCAATAGTTAACTTAGTTCGATACGAACAAACTGAATAAACAAAGAGCACTGGTCGCTCACTTACCAAATCTGTAGAGACAGGACAATCACCAGCAACTAGAGCCGCGTCTTTATTAAGAGAAGACTACAAGCGAATCCGGATCTCAGCGTTTGCAGATGAGAACAGCTCTCAGGTAAACAATAATCCTCCTTAGACACGTAAGTTATTGTTGTCGAGCGTCGCGTACACTATTAATCCACACGTGACTCCAGATGAGCTCTCACAGAGAGAAAATGAAAACAAAACTTAACTGCAGCAAACTATAAAAGCAACACTTCACGCTTATTTTGCCAACACAACGTGGCGTCTCTGTCGTCTAAACACTATGACAGTAATGAATATTAATGAAGTTGCACAATAGAGCGCGCTGATTGATTTGAGCCAAGCCTTACTCATGCATTAATGCATCCCACTGTAAGACGTAATAAGACACACTCTGGCACAGACGCCCAGTCTGCACGCTGGAATACACGCTATTATGTCATGACCGTGACGAATCTTTAAAAATTTGTTTCAAACCGGAAGTACGAAATTGCTTGAAATAACGCAAAAACAACCAATTTACACTTTTTAGTGAAATATAGGTGTCCTAATAGTGTTTTTTAGCAGTGTGGGACACATATACGACTGTCAACAGCTCAAAAAATGTGTTTTGGTGTTTTGTGACCCTTTAACACCAGCCAACCCTCCAAATGCGGGTAGATTTCAGCTTTGGCGGGTTAGACAGACAATCCCACTAGCCACTTTGGCTGGTTGAAAATAATTTTTTAAATTGTAGTTTTCCTAAAAGCGAGGTCCGGCAATACAAGGATGCCCCAATACGGGTGCCAATGTGATCTTAGAATCGAGAAGTAAAATAATTGTGATCATGCGAGCAGAAGAAAGCAAGTGAATACCGAATGAGAGACTGTTGATCACCCGCACTACCAGCTGATGTGATGCGCGCGACTGCTTAAAACGCGTGCGCGCAACTGCTTAACGCGTGTGCGCTCCCGAATCGTGAAGCAACCCTGTTCAATCGGTTCTCTTTCAAATAAACTAGACAAAAAGTGATGAACATGCACCCACAGTCCTGATGCTTTTAAGGGCTTAAAATGTGTCTTTTTGTAAGCAGCACTGGTTGCTTTCACTTTGAACAGATTATTAAATGGCCTAAAGTTAACTGTGGGCATGTGATCATCCTTTCATTATCACATACGGTATGTTTCACCTGCTTTCATTTGCTTACGGTTTTATTTGCTTTTATTTTTGTTAAAATGGTTTAATTATTATTATTTCATAGATTCGAAAGCCACAACAGATTACCATGCATAATTTTGATACATGACAATAGTTATTTTTTAAAAGTCAACTGCTTTTCTTTCTTTTTTAAGAAATGTTTTGTTAAATAAAAAGTATTGTATACAGCTATATTTTGCTTGTTTTGACACATTAAAAATTTGTGGCTAAGAAATAATTATTGTTTCGTGTGGTTATAGAGATAAATTTGGTACATCGTTAATTTTGAGCTCTAAAAAAAGTCATGTGAAATAAAAACTAATTGCAGTATAACACTATGAAACCATGACTCCTTTGCTCATGCTCATTGAGCAAACTCAAACTCGACACACAAAAAGTGAAATTAATGAGGACGCATGTGGACATAACACAAAATTTAAATCAAGTAATTTTAGCATGTCACCATCAAATTTATGCATATAAAATATATTTTCCCAACAACAAAATTGTGGCTAGTAACATTGGAAAACAACTAGCCACAGTGGCGGGTGATTAAAAAAGTTAAGGTAAAGCTCTGGTCATAATAGAGGCCAATGGAAAAAATGCAGCTATGAATATAACGAAAATGGAGTAAATTTGCCCAAAGTGTATTGAGTTTTTTTTTTTTTTTTTATTTCAAAGCATTTTCCCAGAGTATGTCAAAATAAGATGTCCCCTAATATCAGTCTGTTCCCCTTCGGTTGGGGAACTCCAGTGCTATTAAGTGGATTTGATGTTAAAATCCATGTATGGGAGGATTCGGTTCAGAAGCCGCTTGTCTGAAAGAGTATTGAACGGGCCAATGAAAGCAATGAATTGGCAGCGTAAGCTTGCGCAGGTGTGCTGCATTGCCAGTTAACTGAGCATATAAGCACACCTGGCGCCAGCAAACGCCATCCTTTTCGCTTCAGAGACTTTTCTGATCGAGTTCAGGGGGGTACTCTTGCTGAGCTACAGCGATGTCGAGTGAACGAGTGTCTCCCGGTCCAGAGCGAGTCCATGCAGCGGCAGACAGTTGAGCTGGGTTTCTCCCTTGCCTGGCGTCCCTTTGGGTCTAGTCCTCCAGAGCGGTGCGTATTGTTGCAAGTTTTCCTAAAAGAGCAACACAGTCGTGCAGCACGTCCTTTTCAGGATGGCGCTCCGACTGTGCGTTTCTGGATGCTGTGGGTTTCTGTCCTCGGATGATGGCCACGGGCACTGCGTTACATGCTCCAGCATGTTAATGCGCTGCTCGTGGGCAGTTCGTGTCGTCAATGCGATGCTATGACTGTTGCGCAGTAAAGATCGCGGCTAGCCTTTGCAAAAGGGCAAACCACCCCAGTTGTCCCCTGCTTTGCAGCGGGCACTCGGGCAGATCTGAGGGTTCAACGAGAGATAATCCGTCGCCCACTGGCCCGCGGACCTCTCGCTCCTCCAAGCGTTCCATCTAAGCTTCAGGCTAGGGAAGCGATCTGTCTAACTGATGGTAGCCCTTACGCTCGATGACACCGGAGACCAGACATCCACGGCGGCATCGGAGGGTGGGCTTTCATTGTCCGATGATGATCCAGACCCGTTCGCCCCCTTCAGGCAGGTGAGCTCTGTCAAAGCGGATCCTGAAACGAACATGTTAGCCATGCTTTCCCGGGCTGCTTCGGCTGTGGGTTGGAGATGGTTTATCCCCCAGCTCAACGGCCGGACTGACTAGAGGGGCGTTCCCTTCTTCCAGGAGATGCACAGTAGGCTCACGCGGACTTGAAGGGCACTTTTTTTCTGCTCGTGCTGCGTGTCCCTCCACCCTTACCACTCTTGATGGTGGAGCGGCCAGGGGGTATGTGGCGATTCCTCAGGTTGAGTGTGCGATGTCGGTTAATCCACGCGGCGCCTCTTCTTGCCTCTTCTCTTCTCTCACGGCAGCAGATTCACTCTGGAGAATGTAGACTCCACCCCGAGTCTGTTCAGCTGATATGGGCGCGATTCGGGGAGGCCCAGATCGGTCTGTTTGTCTCCTCCGAGAACGCTCATTGCCAGTTGTTCTATTCCCTGACCGAGGGCACTCTCGGCATGGATCCACTGGCCCACAGCTGGCCTTGGGGCACACGCAAGTATGCGTTTCCCCCAGTGAGCCTACTCGCGCAGCTATTATGCAAGGTCAGGGAGGACGAGGAGCAGGTTCTGCTAGTTGAGCCCCTCTGGCCCAACCGAACCTGGATATCAGAGCTCTTCCTCCTCGAGACAGCCCTCCCCTGGCAGATCCCTTTAAGAGAGGACCTACTTTCTTAGGGACAGGGCACCATCTGGCACTCTTCCCCCGATCTCTGGAACCTCCATGTGTGGTCCCTAGACGAGAGGAAGACTTGGGTAACCTGCCGTCTGCGGCCCCCTACGCCCTGAAGTGGAGTCTATTCACTGAATGGTGTGTCTCTCGCAGAGAAGATCCCCAAACTTGCCAGATCAGTGTTGTGCTCTCTTTCCTTCAAGAGAAGCTCGATAGCAGGCTGCCGCCCTCCACTCTCAAGGTTTACGTTGCCACCATCTCCGCTCTCCACGACGCGGTGGCTGGCGGCACCGTGGGAAAGCATAACTTCATCATCCGGTTCCTCAGAGGTGCTAGGCGAATTAATCCAACTCGCCCCCCTCTCATGCTCTCTTGGGATCTCTCCCTCGTCCTCACGAGCCTGCGTTCAGATCCCTTCAAGCCACTCGATTCAGTATCCTTAAGATTTCTGTCCTTGAAGACAGCTCTGCTGGTCGCGTTGGCCTCCATTAAGAGGGTCGGGGACCTGGAGGCATTTTCGGTCAGTGACTTGTGCCTGGAATTCGGGCCGGATTTTTCTCATGTTATCCTGAGACCCCGCCCGGGTTATGTGCCCAAGGTTCCTACCACTCCCTTAGAGATCAGGTAGTAACCCTGCAAGCGCTGCCCCCGGAGGAGGCAGACCCGGCCCTTTCCTTACTCTGTCCAGTTCGCACCCTGCGCATTTATGTAGACCGTACTCAGTACTTTAGATCCTCTGAGCAGCTCTTTGTCTGTTATGGCAGACGGCAGCAGGGAAGTGCTGTGTCCAAACAAAGATTATCCCACTGGATTGTGGAGGCCATTTCATTTTGTTGGGATTTTTTGATGGCATTAGCCATTTCCCTGCGTGTTCAATGAGAGTCAGGAGAGGTTTTCTTTAATGCAAAAGTATTAGCCATTTAATGAATACAATTGAATAATTCGATAGATACAGAGCTCCGGGTTGGAGGTGTCCCTCACGTATGTTCAGGCCATCTTCAACAACAACTCTTTCCTTCCAACCACTTTTATACACATGTGTAAACAACTGGTGTTCTAGGAATTGGCCGGGTGTGGTCCTTTATGTTCTGTATTATCTGGCCTTGGCACCACAGACCCTGGCCCCTCTTGACGTACATACATGAACATGACACAGCTAAATTACATACATAAACATGACACAACTATATAACATACATGGGCATAACACAGCTACATTCATAGAAAGAAATGAAAGAGCTACAATTAATAAGTAATACATTTCTAACAATGTGCTTATTTGAGCAGAGGTCAGCCGCGTCCCCCGGAGTGCGTGCGCACTCCACTCGGAGCATTGCATCCTATTGGGCGCATGCACGCGGCGCCTCTTTAACAGACATTTGTAGAGCTGCGGGCTGGGCGACACCCAACACATTTGCAAGGTTTTACAATTTGCGAGTGGAGCCGGTTTCCTCAAGGGTATTAGGTAACCCTTGGTGATTGAGGAAACATCTCGGTGGGGTGTTGTAACACGCTTGCGGTGCCTTTTTTCCCTAACACTGAGAGATGTGCACCTTCCCGTCTGTCAGTAAAAGTTCCCCGTTCGGTGAGCCCTGCAGATTCGCCCGAGGCCCCCAGCACTGACTCAGCGGAGGAGTCACTTGCTGGCCCACTACGTTAGCTCTGCCCACTGGTCAGCCCGCATTTTTGGGTATAGGTGCCGGCTATGTGTGATCCCCTCTGGCGATCCCATATGCTTATTCCGCCACGGTTAAGTCCCCCCCCCCCCCAAAAATATACCTATTCCGTAAAGCTTCTTTTGAAGTAGGGATAAGTTAGGGCCAAGGGCATGTTGGAGGACCGTGCCTTCCATGATTTGGGTACGTCACGCTTGCCTGACTGCCCTCTCATTGGAGGCGTTGGTAAGGTGCAGTCATTATGGCGCTTTCAATGGCTCCCATACGTGGATTTTAACATCAAATCCACTTATAGCACTGGAGTTCCCCAACCGAAGGGGAACGTTCGAGGTTACAGAAGTAACCCTTCGTTCCCCGAGGAGGGGAACGGAAGTACTATACTCCGTCGCCATAACGACTGTCCCTTAGCTGTTTAAAAGTCTCTTCAGCTTAAAAAGGATGGCGTTTGCTGGCTTAAGCTGCCAATTCATTGCTTTTATTGGCCCGTTCAATACTCTTTCAGACAAGCGGCTTCTGAACCGAATCTGCATTGCATTGCGTTGCGTTGCCATTATCTTGGAGTTTCAGATTAACCATGGTCAAATATGCATATAACTCCCTTCCCATCTTGCCTATGGGCTTGTCTCCCTTTCAGTGCTGCTTAGGCTACCAGCCCCCTCTGCAGACTGATTTCACGAGGCCGCCATTTTAAAAGCAAAATCGAGGCTGCTTTGGGAAAAAAAGGGAAGTATCCCCTGGAGTCACACAGGAACATTGTGTACCTAGCTGTATATCTTAATCACAGCCATTTTTGGTGGGCACCAGTGAACACTATGCCAAATCAGCACTGTTTTAAGAGCACACTCAGTGGCACTTAAATGTTAGCGGGAAATGAATGTTTTTAAAACTTCAGTACCGGGACTACACTAATACAGACAACACGAGGGGTGTGCTACAGAGGACTGCAATGTTTTATGTTCACCCGGTTACATAGGCTGAAGCAAGGAATGGTCCCCACTGTGTTTACCTGGTGCCATGAACTGAATCCTTGGAGGACACTTAATAGATAGGACGCGTATTATTCTTAAAGAGATTGTAATTTAGTTTGATACCTAACCTGCTTTTAATTGTTTAAATTAAACTGAACTGAATGATATCAAAGTGATGTTTACACCATTTGCATTTTGAAATCGCAGCCACAGCTGGAGGTTTGTAGTCCACAGCATGTTGTTGCAATGTTTACAGTGCTGATCCTATACTTAAGTTTTTTTTCTCACCCCAGCCTAGCTGTCGTTCTTTAAAATGGTGGCCTTATGAAAAAAAGTTTACTCTCTTCCCAAGAACCAGATGACATTGTTCCTTCATGCATTCATTCATTCAGAGATGCCTCTAGACGTGGAGTATCACCAGAAAAGGGCTGGCAATAAGACTAAAGCGTCTGCCCCCTCTATACATGTGTGGTCAGAAAGTCTGGTTGTCTTCCAAAGACTTTGCTCTCAGACTTTCCTCCCATAAATTGGGACCTAAATTCATTGGACCATTTACCATTATCAAGGTGCTCAGTCCAGTGTTGGTACAACTTAAATTAAGCTCCAAGTTTAAAAACATTCATCCATTTTTTTTCAAGATCCACTGTTTCTTGTAGGATTTTTACCAGCTGTGGCGGCAGGCCTTTTTTTTTTACACGTCTAACGATATTTCAGTGGCAAATGTCGCAAGCGCAGTATTACAAGTTAAGATCGCATTTATGTAATAGCCTGCAAGCTTGTATCCAAATCTCTTTGCTTGTGCACCGATTTCCTCTGCTCATGCACAAAACTTTCTTGCACGCCCCCCAAATATTTGCTGCTCAAGCGCAGATCTTCTTGTGGACTCTCAAATAATTGCTGCAGAAGTGCGATTTATTGCGTTTATGTAACAAGTGTCTCCAACATTTATTACATTTGCTAGGAATATTTATGAATGTATTCTTAAATAAACCAATTCTTCTCTCCCCCTTGCAGCCCTTAACCTCTGCTCCTCTGCCTCCCAGGCTGGTTTAGGGTGCACTTACATACACAGTGCACTGGCTTCTGGATGTGAGGAGTATAGGTAGATAAGTTATCAATATCAAGTAGACAGGAAGTCCAGAGGACAGATGTTGGATTCCGGCTCTGAATTTTCTGGACCGCTTACTCATTGATCAGTTTCATCAGGTCCATAGTGAGTCTTAAGGGAATGCCAGGGGGTGTTCTTATAGGAGGGGTACTGTCACCGTATGTCACGTGTTTGTTCTCTCCTCCTGTTTTGGGTTACAGATTATTTCGTCATCTGCTTTTATTTGCAGTCAAAGGAGCTCTCGTTTCTCTTTTTCCTGTTGATACCACATCATTTCCCTTCATGTTTGTGAGAATGTTTTCAATTGTTTGTGGACAAATTATTTTTTTACTTACCCTGTATTTGTTTTCAGGACTACTGGTGAGCCAGTGTCTGTTTTTTTTTTTCCCCATGGCAATTCCTCAGCGCTCACCCAACCGCTTGTTTACTTGATATTTGCTTTTTCCAGGACTCACTCCTCAATAAAGACTTGTTTTTTTCTGCATTTGAGTTCACTCTATTTATTTATTTTTTACTCTTGACACATGTATTTTTTTTCTTGTTTGTGTTTATAGGTCTTTAGATTTTGGAATGATGTCTAGCTTTTGAGGCTGTTTTGGTCTACTTCACTATGTCAGAAAGGTCCTAATTAGAAGATTTCTTGATTGTGAATGTGTGGTAGTAATCAGGTCTGGGTGTGGCCAGAAAACTTGAAGCCAGTGTGATAAATTAAAGTGGTTTTAATGGGGAAAAACATTTTCACACAAGGCTATGTAGTTCAAAGTGTTAGAATTCTGCATTACATTTCTTACATGCAGATTACTAAACCAGAGAACATTTGTCATTTAAAGGTGCAGATATAAGGCTTTATGCAGATGTGTCTGTAAGGCAAATATTCACAGAGATTCAGCTGTTTTTTTCCTGACAGGTTTACCAGTCAGGCACAGAATAAGAAAGCATTCCCTATCTGCTTTACAAGTTTTACAAAAACATGTTGCTTTGTTGTGATTACAAGTATATACAACAAAAAAAAAAAAAAACTGGCCATTTACAGTTTTCAAATTTATGTCTCATCAATATGACCAAAATGATCTGGTATTAATCATTTAAGAATCTGCTTAAATGTGTTTGTGTGTAATGAACCCCAGGAGGTTGAAATGAAAAGATCAATCTAAATATGGTCTGCTGTTTTTACATTTAATCTGCATCAAAATTAAGGTGATTCAATGAGAGTTTTAATGATTTACTAAAAACTGAACTTTTTTATTTCAGACCTAATTAAAGAGTATGAGAGGAGTAAAGAGGAGGAACATCATGTCAAAATTGAAGACAAAACTCATTTAGAGACTGATGGTATTTTAAAAGCGAGAGACAAGAGTTGTTTTACCTGCACTCAGTGTGGAAAGAGTTTGTCAAGCAAAAGCAAACTGAAGATTCACATGATGATTCACACTGGAGAGAGACCATTCACATGCACTCAGTGTGGGAAGAGTTTCAGCCAATCATCATACCTTAATGAACACATGATGATCCACATAGGAGAGAAACCATTCACATGTACTCAGTGTGGGAAGAGTTTCAGCAAATCATCATCGCTTTATAGACACATGAAGATCCACACCGGAGAAAAACCATTCATATGCACTCTGTGTGGGAAGAGTTTCAGCCAATTATCATCCCTTAATCTACACATGAGGATCCACACTGGAGAGAAACCATTCACATGCACTCAGTGTGGGAAGAGTTTCAACCAATCATCAAACCTTTATCTACACATGAGGATCCACACTGGAGAGAAACCATTCACATGCACTCAGTGTGGGAAGAGTTTCCGCCAATCATCATCCCTTAATCTACACATGAGGATCCACACTGGAGAGAAACCATTCACTTGCACTCTGTGTGGGAAGAATTTCATCCACTCATCACACCTTAATCAACACATGATGATTCACACTGGAGAGAAACCATTCACATGCACTCAGTGTGGGAAGAGTTTCAGGATATCATCATCGCTTTGTAGACACATGATGACCCACACGATAGAAAAACCATTCACATGCACTCAGTGTGGGAAGAGTTTCAGCCAATCATCATACCTTAATAAACACATGAGGATCCACACTAGAGAGAAACCATTCACTTGCACTCAGTGTGGGAAGAGTTTCAGCCAATCATCACACCTTAATCTACACATGATGATTCACACTGGAGAGAAACCATTCACATGCACTCAGTGTGGGAAGAGTTTCATGATATCATCATCGCTTTGTAGACACATGATGACCCACACGATAAAAAAAACATTCACATGCGCTCAGTGTGGGAAGAGTTTCAGCCAATCATCATATCTTAATAAACACATGAGGATCCACACTGGAGAGAGTCCATTCACATGTTCTCATTGTGGAAAGAGTTTCAGCCACTTATCACATTGTAATAAACACATAAAGATCTCTCGGTGTGAGAGAGTATGTGTGCTTTGAGCAGAGTTGAAACGGCACCAGAGGATTCACACTGGAGAAAAAACGTACAAGTGTTCACAGTGCAGCAAAAGGTTTACTCACTCAGGAACCCTGAAAACACATGAGAGGATTCACACTGGAGAGAAACCGTAGACATAATCAGTGTCTTCAGTTTCACTCATTCTGGGCAGCTTCAGAGACACATGGGATGGTTTCTGGTATGGTGTCGACAGTGTAGCAGCCTAGAAAGAGCACTACCATACACACAGGCATTAATCCCTCTTTTTACATCATATATGATAACCTAAACCATATTTATATAACATGGAGGGGGACAAAAACAAAAAGGCTAAGACAAAACAAACATTGAAACCTGAAAAAAAATGGAAATCCACAGATGAAAAATCTGAGACAGACGGGATAGCTGATAGCCTGTCAGCTTGCAGTGCAGCAATACATACAGACATCAAAACTTTCCGGATGGATATAAAATCCGATTTAACCACCTTCCAAGATTCTCTCACAAAAGACGTGAAAATGGAACTAAGTAACTTTAAATAAGAAGTCTATCAAAAACTTTATGGCCTCATTACGGACCTTAACACAACGGCAGAAAAGGTCAACGAAGCGGAGCAGCGAGTTGGAGAATTTAAGAAGAACGTTGCTGAGATGAAAGAAATGCTCAAATCATCCAAATTCAAGAAAATTTACAAGAGAAACTGTAAAATCTAGAAACACTCTCCCGTAGCAATAATATTCTGATTTTTGGCATCCCGGAAGGAAGCGAAGGGAATAATATCCAAGACTTGATGGAAACGATTATTAAAATGGTGCTGTTACTTGATGAATTGGACCTTAAAATCCAACAGTGTCACCGGGCACTCAGACCAAAACCACCTGCTGACGCACAGCCTAGATCAGCAGTGGTATTCTTCCTGGAATACAAAACAATGAACCTGGGGCCTCATGTATCAACACAAAAACCTAAAATCTTTGCTTTACTAATGATGAAATTAATGTGGGAATGTGTGCAGATCCACCCAACTTCATGCCTGGCGTATGCACATTTCTTGTGTGTGTTTGTTTTATTTCCATTGGTGACTCCTAGAGGCAGTTGTGCTAAATTGCTCTCTACAAAGTGTCTTTGAGCCGTGCAATGGCAGCTGTATGAGACAGGTTCATCTGCATGTCTAGCAGGTATATAAGTGTAACATATATGCTGGAGATAAACATTTCGTTCAACATTCCATGAAAATGATCTGGTTTCAATTTCCGGGGCAATTTAGGTCACTCGGTGACAAAAAGTCTGGCCTAAAAAAATTCCTGCTGACAAGTAACGAGTTTGGGACGTTCCACAGAACAGTCCTGAAGTACTCTCTGCCGACTTCAAAGGGACATGGCAGATATCTCTCTCTGTTCGTACATGTTTTATAGTCCCGTATAGAAAAATTCTGAAAGAAAAGGGGATTAAGTTTTAAACACCACCGCCGGCGAAACTTAAAATCTTTCTGGAAAACAGGGCGGTCATGTACACAGTAAAATCATCCGAGTAAAATTTACTCAGTTCAGAGAACATTTGGTCCCTCTCTAAATTGAGCAAAATTTACTCAGCAGCAGAGTTAAAGTTAATGAGACAATGATGGGGTTAATTAAGTGATGATTGAGCACTGATGATGAACACCTGCTGTTAATAAGCAGAAACAGAAGAGAAAAACAAAACTACATCTACCTTCAGTAACAGCCGTACATAAAATAAACTAAATAAAACACATCAAATCTCTCAAAATCTCAGCAGAGGATCATTAAGCAACTCCACAAACAGCAGCTATATTTATTAACAACCTGTTTGGCCTTATTTCTGCCACACTACAAAATTACATACAGTGATAATATTAAGAATTAACTAAGTATTTTTTTTTTTTAACAACAACAATAAAAAACAAACAAACAAACAAACAAAAAACTTTGTGTTTATCTGTCACCATTGGAGAGAACAGTAGCTTCTTTACTTGGACTCAATTTCTAATATTTGTTTCTTTTTGTTTACCAAATAGTCTATTAGGGCAAATATTGTATAAAGAGAGCAATTGTGCTCTGGGTAATAGATTCTGTGGTAGTTTTGTCACTGGTCAATTCAGTAAAATTGTTTTTTTACCTAATAAGTTTAAATAATGTATCACAAAAGGAGCACAGCAGATAATTTAGCTCACCAATACTTTTATCAGATCATGAGATACTGGGCTAAACTGAACTAAAACACTAAAAACTGAACTACACTGTTCCAGTTACTATGACCATTTATGTGAAGCTGCTTTGACACAATCTATATTGCAAAAGTGCTATACAAATCAAGCTGAATTGAATTGAATCATAAAACACATTGAAGATCTGAAACACTGAAAACCCACAGACATAAAGAATCAGCGTATGCTTCTCAACTATGGTGAGTCTTTTTTCTTTTCTTTTTTTTCAGTGCATGCTGGGAACTATGGATGAATGTCGTATGATTCTCTTACCATGCACTGCAGCCAAAAATAAATAAATCTCTAACCACTGTTGAGATAGATACGCTGATTAATGATGTCTGTGTCTCTGTATTGATTCAGATGTTCAGTGTGTTTCAAAATATATATATAAAACCACAGCTGAGGTCCACTCTCCTGATAAACACTGAATTTAGTTTCTTATGTGATAAACCATCATTTAAACATAATTAGCACAGTCAAACATAATCTCTTATACACTTACTCTTGTCAAGAGTAAAAATCAATACCGGATCAGTCAACTTGTTCACATTTGCTCTCTTTACATTTGTTATAGCAAACGAAGAAAAATTAACATTAAAAATTGAGTCCAAGTAAATCAAACACTTTTCTCCATGGTGGTGATATCAGGGTAAAATAAAGTTGTTGTTTTTTTTTTTTTGTAAAATGTAAATAACTAAAACAGTTAATTCTCAATAAATCTTATATGGACTTTTTTCTGAACATCTGACAGAAATAAAGTCAATCAGGTAACCAAAGAGTGAAGCTGCTGCTGCTTCTCTTCTGTTTCTGCTTATTAACAGCAGGTGTTCATCATCAGTGCTCAATCATCACTTAATTAACCCCATCATTGTCTCATTATCTTTAACTCTGCTGCTGAGTAAATTTTGCTCAATTTAGAGAGGGACCAAATATTCTCTGAACTAAGTAAATTTTACTCTGATGATTTTACTGTGAAGCTGTTACGACTTTTAGGGGATTTCCCCATTCCCCTTTTAATGGAACCATGGTTGTTCAAGGAACAATGTACCAAAACTTTACTGCGCCAGCCGTGGGAGCTTTTACACAGCCTTTTTCTTTCTCTTTCCCACAAAGGGATGGTATGAGCCCCATCGAACACTCACCGTTTTGGCAGCTTTACTGTGCCTGCCGTGGGAGCTTTTGCACAGCTTTTTTTTTATTTGTCTTTCCCACGAAGGGATGGTATGAGCCCTATCGAACATGCACCTTTTTTGGCAGTTTTACTGCACCAGCGGCAGGAGCTTGAGCACGGCTTTTCCCTTTTCAAAGGGTATCATAGAACCCCACCAAACAGACACACAGTTTAGGGCAGCTTTACTGCACCAGCCGTGGGAGCTTTTGCATGGCTTTTCCCTTTTTAAAGGGAATCATAGAACTCGATCGAACACACACTTTTTTGGGGGTAACGCCAGCCGTGTGAGCCTTTGCATGGCTGCTGGAACCATATCATTAACCAACCATCAAACTTGGGTCAGACCGTAACCCCGGCACCACTGACCCTGGCTTGTTTCACCTCATCGGAGACTACTAGCACCCTCCACCCTCCATTTTGCCAGAATGCGCAGCCAAAGGCTCTTGGGAAACAGACACAACTGCTCAGGCAGACGGCTTGGCCATAGATCCCCTTCTTTTTTGCCATTGAGCCAGGACGCGCGGCCGAAGGCTTGCAGGAAAGAGATGCACCTGCTCGGGCAGACCAGCCTGGCCTTAGAGCCCCTGCTTTTTTCGAGCCCAGCTGTTCGGGCTCGTTAAACCGCACAAATTCCACAATTTCATGCCATCCCCCAAATCCTGATGGCAGGTCAGAGGCATTTGGTGTCGCAGGAAACGGAAACACCTGCTTAGACAGACCAGCCTGGCCTTAGACGTCCTGGTTCTTTACCATCATGCCAGGACATGCAGCCTAAGGCTCGCAGGGAATGTACGCACCTGCTCGGGCAGACAAGCCTGGCCTTAGACCCCCTGGTTCTTTCCCATCAGGCCAGGATGCGTGGTTGAAGCCTCGCGGAAAACGAACACACCTGCTCAGGCATACCGGCCTGGCCTTAGTCCCCCTAGTTCTCTCCCATCGTGCCAGGACGAGTGGCTGAAGGCTCGCGGGAAACGGACGCACCTGCTCGTGCAGACCAGCCTAGCTTTAGATCCCCTGGTTCTTTCCCATTGTGCCAGGATGCGGGGCTGAAGACTCGTGTGAAACGAAGACACCTGCTTGGACAGACCAGCCTGGCCTTAGACCACCTGCTTCTTTCCCATCATGCTAGGACGCGGGGCCAAAGCCTCGTAGGAATTGGACGCACCTGCTCGGGCAGACCAGCCTGATCTAGACCCCCTGGTTCTTTCCCATCATGCCAGGACTTCATCATTTCAGACACTTGCTAGAAAGACCATTCACCCTCCACACTCGATATGCTGGTTTTCACACAAAGAACTTTGCCTCGCTGGTATTGGTGGGGATGGGATATTTTTCTGGGCCAGCGTTTGATGTCTGAGCACCCTGGATGGGGTGAAGTGAAGGGATTGGGGTGCAAGCTCACAATCGCTGTATAGAATGTATGTATCTCTAATAAGGTCAGTTTTAGATTATGGTAGTGTTAGTATATGGTTCAGCAGCCAAGTCAAAATTGAATAAATTAGAAGTAATTCAGGCTGAGGCACTGAAAAAATGTAGTGGAGCTTTTAAGAGAACACCAGTGTCAGCTATTCAAGTGGAAATGAGAGAATTGCCACTGGAATTAAGAAAGACGCAGTTGATGGCTACTTATTGGGTAGGTTTACAAGGGCATACAAATTCACATATCACTAAATCTGTATTACAGGAGAGTTAGGAAAACGTGAAAAGTCAAAAGGAGAATTTTGGTCGGACAAAATTCACACAGACTTTTACAGATGGAGCAAAGAATCCAGAAACTGGAGTGTCTGAATTGGGGTAGTCATACCAGAAAAAAAATAGAGAAATAAATAGAAGGACTTCAGATTATGTGGGAGTGTACACAGTAGAGATGCTTGCTATATTAGTAGCATTGAGATGGGTACAATTGACAGGGCAAGACAAAATCTTGGTACATTCAAACTCGGCATCAGCTCTTGAAAGTTTAAGGTCATTTTCTTCAAGTTGACAAAATATTTTGTATGGAGTACTACAGTGTATAACAAAAATAACAAGTCAGGGAAAGGAGGTGAAGTTTATATGGGTTCCAGGTCATGTAGGGATAAAGGGAAATAAAATGGCTGACAGATTAACAAATAGGGCGTTAACAAAAGAAAATGTAGAAATGCAAATAAGGGTTAGTAAAGTAGACGTGAAAAGTCTAATATGGGTCAGAGAAAAGAAAAGAAGGCATTTGTATGCAATTCAACAGGTTGTTACACACAAGAGTCAGTAGAGGTAACATGCGAGAAGAAATAATAATAACAAGATTAAGACTGGGTAATTGTTTATTAAATAAAACACTTAAATTGTTAGGAAAGCATGAAACTGGATTATGTGAGGGATGTAGTAAAGAGGAGTCAGTAGAACATGTGATGCTAAAATGCAAAAGGTATGAAAAGCAGAGGGAGGAAATGAGAAATGATCTAAGGGAGATAGGGATTCAGGAAATGGCATTAAAATGTTTACTTAGTACAAAGGACGGGATTCAGACCAGAATACTTATTAAGTTCCTGAGAGAAACAGGTGTTTATAATACTAAATAAAAAAAATTATTTAAATTATAATAGAAGGTAAAGGGAATAGTGTTAAATATAACCAAGTATTGGAAGTAGTAGAAATAAAAGTAGGAGTAAGAGTACTGTGGTGGTTATTATTATTATGGTATTAGAGTACATTGTAGTATTAGTGTATTATGGTTATTAGTATAACATAGGAGTAGGGCAGAAGTGTGTGTGTAAATATGTGTGTAAATGAGAAGGGGTGGAAAAGAGGGTGAATAAATTTGATTAGTATGTAAACCTAACCTCTGGTC